CCCGAGGCTGGGAGGGGAGATCGCGTTTTCAAACTCTGGAACCTGCGCAGAGCAGAACTGCCCTGAGCGGAGCCCAAGGCCATCCACCCCCCTTGCCCTTCCGGAGCCCCTGCGAGCCCAGGGCCCTTCCCCAGCGGAGGTGTGCGCAGGGTGGGGAGAGGGGGCGCCCAGAGAGAACGGCGCCCTGACCACCAGCAGCCCGCAGCAGTTCGGGCTCCGAAGGCCCACTTTGCAAGGCGGGTCTAGCTGGCCGCCGCCAGGGCAGCTCTGTCCTGCTTTGGGGCTCCCTCCTGGAGCTGTCCTCCATCTGGAGACCCTGCTCGGTTTCGGGGACGCTGAGATTTTAACATTGGTAAAGCAGGACACCATTGATAAAACTCATATCCTGGCGAAATAGCCACATGTCACCCGGAAACTGTATCCCCTAGCTTGTCTTGCATGCTTTCCAAAAATCGGGACTTTTTAAAAACACCGCGGGACGCGGGAAAAATTATTAAAAATAGGGACTGTCCCGCCAAAAGCGGGATGTCTGGTCAGCTTATGCTAAGCAGATGGGATGGCTGCCTCTGTAAAGATGACAACCCCGTTTTACGTTTCTGGCGTAATTGAGACGTGTCCCTGCACAGGGGTTGGCTGTCCAGGTGGGTGACAGAGAGCCGTGGGTCAGCACCTGGGAGGCCAGTCTCCAAACCGCCCGTGGTACCTTCCAGGTCCTCACCAGCACCACCTCAAGCACGGTGATTCTTCTCAGGGCGCCTTTATTCAGTGCCCAGCTTTCACATGTCTATAAACCAAAATCCAAACACGCTGATTGAGTCAGTGTCCACTAATAGTGACTGGAACTCTCTCCTGGACTAGCGAGCCCTGCCCCTCTCCCAGGCAGTGGCTTGTGGTTTCAAATTGCTGACTCATCTCAACCCCCTGGGGGTTTCTGAGACTGAAACTGCTGATGGGAGTCGAAAGCCTGGTCTTTCTTCTGAGGAGCTGCCAGCGGTTTCAAACTGCCGACCATGCGGACCGCAGCCCACTTTGTCTCGGGTCAGGAGCACCTTACTCTTCAAAGTGACATTCTTGCTTTTCAGCACTTTGAAGGGGTCTCAGCTTGAGCTTGGAGGGAAGGGCCAGCCATGTTGCGGTGGAGTTTGGGAAGCAGCATCCCAGTCTGAAGGTTCCGGTGATGGAGTCCGAGGAAAAATAAAATCAGAGATGGGGAAGAAGACCTGGGAGAGGGAACCCAACGAGCATAGCTCTTCCTCTGCACTGACCCCCTTGCCCTGCCCTCGGAGGGGGCATAGCACCCAGTGATGCCCAAAACTACCCCTCAACGGATGCCCTCTGTTGGCTTCAAGACACACTCTGTGGTCAGCCACCTCACATCGAAGGCAAGTCCCCCAGGGCTGGGGGAGAGGAGGCTGCGGTGACTTTAATGACCGGCGTCCGTGCCTGGTCACGTGTGCAGGCGACATTCCTGTGAGTGCAGCCAGGAGGACCAGCAGCAATTCTAAGATGTAGCAAAAACGGAGAACTTGAGTTTTACGCATCATCTTTCACGGGCCTAAAATTGGGATGAGGAGTCATCTTATTGATTTGAGATGATCACATCAGGAGCAGCTGCTCACTCATTAATTATATTTTAACCAATAATCCTGTTGACACTGGGTTTCCTGTACAAAGCAATGACTGTGCTGCCAGCTCTGAACTGTCCCTGGTTTTACATTTATCTCCTCAAATTAAGAAGAATGGACAAATCTGTGTGGAGAGGAATACGGCCAGAATGTTCCTTAGAAGCCAGAGGGTGAGACCTCATCTCACTTCTTTGACCCTGTCGGGAGAGATGTCCTGGAGAAGCACACCAGTGGCACCATGCAGCAACAACAGTCACTGGGAAAGTCGCCGGTCTTCCAGCGCCTGTGTCTTTGATGATGTGGGTGGATACCATGTCCTGTTAACGTCAACAACCATTTATTAAGTAAAGCTGTTATCCTGTTTTCAGTAATGAAATCCTGTTTTAATTCTGTATTTTTAAGAGTGGCTGCGATCTATGTATTGCTCATCTAGGAACAAATATTATATAAAAAATCTGACTACTGAGGCTATGGGTGCTGCAGCACCGTGTCATGGAGAAAGCAGATGGTCCAGCTCTCATAAAGAACAGCACCTATGGTCTTAAAAGCTTTTCTTAAAACAAGCAGCCTTCTAAGTAAGGTGACAGCTCAGTCCACGCAGAAGGAGCACACTAGCCCATGTGACCCAAGGGCTGTAAATAATAAAATCCAAGAACAGAGGAGGGAGTTTTCTGAGCACCTGGTTTGCAGAAGGCTACGGATGGCAGGAACAGTCCAAAACCCATTTGCAGAGTGTCCAGGCATGCAGAATAGGTCTCCACTGAACTCCCGTGGACGACTGAGCAGGCGTGTGAATAGTCTTGTCTCGGGAAGTGGATTACTGCAGATTTCCATTCTCATGGCCACACAGTCGATTCTGGCTCGTAACGGCCCCTTAACACGGTAGAACAACCTGTGTGGGAATAGTTAGGTTAAAATGTAACACAGTGTCCTTGCTCTTTAATTTTTGAGGAAATGTGTTCTATTATCTCCGAGTTTCTCTTGGATAGAGGCTCTCCTGTGTTCGATTTTGTTGTTGGGGTTTCTTTAAACAAACTGCAGGGTAGGGGATTCACAGGGACAGTCACTCGATTAGTAGCACCTTAGGGCTGCGGCTGTGGAGGCTGAGAGGAGGTGGGGAGCTAATAATAGTGGGTACTAGAATGAAGAAGCGGCTCTAAAACGGATTGTGGCGGTGACTGCACAGCGCTTTTTAATATATTTTAAATTATGTGGTACGTGACTTATAGGCAATAAAAAAACTGTTAACGATAAAAACAAATAAAAAGTGACCAGAACAAATGACACCCATCCCATCCTGAGAGATTTTCCAAATGTAATTTTTTATGTGAAAGACAAAAGAATAAGCCCACCCTCCCTGAGAGACAGGTGGGGACTCATCACTCTGGTGTGAGGACTGTGATGGGCTGACCTGTGTCCCCTGGGACATAAGTCAGGAGCCCTGGTGATGGACTTGGTGGTTAACAAGTTGAGTCTCTAACTGCAAGGTCAGGAGTTCAAAACCAACCACCAGCTGCTTTATGGGAGAAAGATGGAGCTTTCTACTCCTGAAAAGAGTTACCTCCCTCATAATCTCCCAGGGGCCATTCCCCTGCCCTACAGGGTCCTGTGAGTCAGTGTCGGTTTGATGGATGGCAGTGAGTGTTTGCTGGTTTGTCTGTGGGTTGGTGTCTTCTCTGTGCCGGGCCTGCAGGAAGGGGACGGATTTAAAAACGAAGCGTGCATTCGGAAAACAATGTAATGACTTGGGGAAATCTGCAGAAATGAAGGACCCAGGACATGGGCCCTAGACGATCCCCTGAGGACACGGCTGCCCAGTTATCTGTTAAAGAGATTCGACCACCCGACAGCAGAAAACCCATCCCCTCAGGCACACGGGAGGCTAGCTGCAGGAAACGCCGCAGGAGCCCCATCTGCTGTCCTCCGAGAACAAATCCCAACCCATGTCTGTCCAGTGCCTACCGACTCACAGCGCTGCTGCCGGCAGGGTGGGCAAGGCTGCTGCCCCGCCCCTGTTTACCGAGCGCTTTGTCACTGCAGCATCAAGGCTCCCTTTCTGTGCACGTGAACCCTGTGCCGCCGAGTCACTGCCCGATCAGAGCGGAAACCCTAGGACACACATTACCTGGAGAGGCGACTGGCCGACGTGGGCTGCTCCTTGGAAGGGACGATGGTGAGGAGCCCACATTCTCCCCGGAGAGGGTATTCAGGTCGGAACAAAAGAAGACCCTCCAGGAGATGGTCAGCACAGTGGCTGCACCCAGGGGCTCAAACAAGGACAAAGACTGTGAGCACAGCACAGGGCGGCGGGCTCCCTC